AAACCTCCCTCTCCCTCTCGGCACCTCACTGTGTTGTCAATACCAGACGGCTTTCCATGGATTATTTTTTCACCTTCAAAAGCCCATTTGTTCACCAATTCCAGCTCATTTTCTCCAAACATTAACCAACCTTGATGACCAAAATCAAAGATTCACAGATTCCGACTGGCCAAGCAAATTCTAAGGCCATATCCTTCAAATGGAGCTTTAATTTATCATCATTATCAGAATTGAGTCGGAAAGCTGAGAGAGGCGTAAGTGTAGAGATCGATAGAGGCGGCCACCGCCGTAGATCCGTGGACTACGGCGTGTTCGCCGATCTAGACAGAGAAAACAAAAGACAAGGGTTACTGCCGCCGCCGCAGCTACCTCACCGTCCGCCTCCACGACTCCGAGCCCGCCTCCGCCTACTGGACCTCCACGACCCCATCGCCGCCACCTCCGTCGTCCTCGAGTTCTCCGTCGCCACCGTCATCATCGACCACCCCATCGACGCCGTCGAGCTCATCATCGAGTTATCGACAGGGCTTGTCGTTGGATTGCCATAGTGGTGTTGCGATCCTTGTGATTTTCAGCATTTTGTTCGTATGTTGCAGAACGAAGAAGAGCAGAGATCATGACTACTTTGTTCCTCTCTCTCTCTCTCACTTTCTCTCCCTAGACCCACTTTACTCAAAACCTGAAATCACCAACTGTCCCAACGTGGGCATGAACGTGTAGTCCCAATCTTGTAACGCGCAGTTCAAAAAGTTGTGCCACGTCCCGTTCATCACCACCTCCCTCTTTTTCAGCTTTTTTCTCTTCAGGACAGAGCGAACTATATTATCTATCTTTTTTTATTCTAAACTATTTCCCACAAACCCTCTTTTGGATATTCGTGAATTTGCAGCACAGCATCACCTCTCCTTTTCTTGACGAGCAGACACAAAAACATGGCAGCCGACTGGGTTGCAAAAGCTCTAACAATTCCACCACTCTTCTTTTCTTTAAACATAACACCCACTCTCCATTCATTCATTATTATTTTTTTATTATGCACACACTCAGACTCCATGTGCTCTTTGACCCTTTTTATCCACCTTACACACACCCCCAAATATATTTTGATTACCCTTCCAAACCAAACACTCTCCATTGTTTTTTCTTTGTTCTGATATTCAAAGTTGCAAAAAAAAAAAAAAAAAAAAAAAAAAAAAAAAAAAACAACAAACAACGACGCCGACGGACTGCACACCAAACTCATTTTATTCATATCGGGGGCTCACCCCGATCACCATTTTACATCAAAAAAAAAAAAAAAAAAACAAACAAACAAAAAAAAACAAAACAACCGCACCCACAGTGGGATTTTTCTTCTCTACTCTGCTGCGGGTCTCTTCTCTTGCTTTTCTCTTGATTGTCCCGTGACTGCCCAGCCTCCATGCTTCCTAGACCACCAAGCAAGTTGCCTCCTCCCTGCTCCTCCACTACAGCATATGGCGGCCCTCCAAATCGGAACATCACGGTGGCCTTCGCTTCAGCTCCTTGTTTTCTGCCTTTAGCACACTTATCTCTGCTCGCGCATCCTTATACATGCGCTGGAGCAGAGCCAGTTGGGCGTTTAACTGCTGCACCTCATTTGTCCTACTCTGCAGCCGTGCGACAAGTTTTGTGACCGCAGTCATGGTTTCACGCATGACTTCAAAGTATACTTGATTGGCCTCAATATCAGTTTGCATCCGTTTGCACCGCCATTTTTTGCTCCACCGACCGCATCGGAAAGTTCAAAGGAGCAAACCCAGAAGTGTTTGGTTGGGGTTCACTGGCCACCGCACCAGTTATTTCTCTTGTGGACTCGTTAAGGTCTGGAAAGAGAGTGAGCAGACCACGGGACGAAGAGGCCATATTCTGGGTAGCTGAACGGGAAGAAGAGGCCATTGTTCAGATGTTTCAGAATGCAAATATTCAGATATTTCAGAATGAAAATGTTCAGCGGTTTCAGACTGGTTTGCACAGCCTCCGCCTCAACCTTGGTTTAAATAGCCAGGGCCGATCCGCGCATCGCGCGCCACTTGACGCCAGACGACAAAACGGGCGCGCAAGCCAAGGTAATCACGCACCTCGCCATCATGTCCGGTACGCCTTTTTATGGATTGGGCACGCCTTTTGATGGCACGCCTTTTGAAAGATTGGGCACACTTTTTGAGGGTGCGACTTTTTAGGGGTCCGACAAGACTCTGCAAACTGTCCCGACATTGATTCCGGTTAGCTCTTTCATGGGTCCGACAAGACTCAGTAAACTGTCCCGACATTGATTCCGGTTAGCTCCTTCATGGGTCCGACAAGACTCTGTAAACTGTCCCGACATTGATTCCGGTTAGTTTCTACAAGGGTCCAGCAAGACTCCGTAAACTGTCACAACAACTGTCACAACATTGTCTGCTACAACGGTCCGACATGACCCCATAAACTGTCTTCTACATCGGTCCAACACGAGCCAGTGTCTTCTACATCGGTCTGCCATAACCATACAGTCTTCTACAACGGTCAGACACGACCATACAGTGTCTCCTATCCATTTTTTATTTTTCAGATTATTTTCTTGCTTTGTTACTCTCTCCAAACTCAAGTTGGTTAGTTCCTATCCCCCTTGAGTTTGCGGGGGGCTGTTAAAATCTACCATCACCTACTCCACCTACTACACCTACCACCACCTACTACCACCTACTACACACCTACCACTACCACCTACTATCACCTACTCCACTACATCTCCTATATAAGGAACCTCTCACCATTTGTAATTTATAACATACAACATATATCAATCAATAATACATCTATTTCTTACACATGCATTCTTCAAAATGCAATTTTTGCACTTTAAATATGCTTTGAAACACTTATAAGATGAATATATCATATGTATTGCAATGTTTTATTATTATTTTGTACCTTAAATGTAAGAGGGATTTGGTGATAGACCCCTCAGGCTATATTTGTTTGGGTGGATATGTGCTTGGGATTTAGGAATGGCAACGGGCCGGGCCGGGGATTACATTCCCCGTCCCCGATCCCCGAAGGCAAAAAAATCCCCGTCCCCGCCTCCGACCCCCAGGAATGGCAACGGGACGGGGCGGGGCCGGGGATCACACTCCCCGTCCCCGATCCCCGATGCTCGAATTTTCCCCGGCCCTGATCCCCGACGGGGACTCATAGCCCGGTCCCATCACCGCCCCCGATCGGGGATCGGGGATCCCCGACCCCGAAAAATCTCCGATTTTTTTTTTTATATATATAATTTTGTTCAACACAAAAAAAAAAAAAACTATTTTCAATGTTTCATCATCATCATCATCATCAACAACAACAATCAACTTTAAAAAAAAAAAAATTGAAATTGTTCAATACACACACACACACACACCCATATATATAGATATGTGGGTGTGTGTGGGTGTGTATCTATCATCATCATCATCAACAACTTTAAAAAAAAACAAAGAATAGATCTGAAATTGTTCAACAACATACACACACACACACACACACATATATATATATATATATATGTATCATCATCATCATCATCATCATCATCAACAACTTACAAAAAAAAAAAGATCTAAAATTGTCGAGATCTGCGGCGGAGGACGGTGGTGGTGGAGGATCGGCAGATCTACGACGGAGGAGGCGATGAGTGATGTCGAAGAGGAAGTGATCTGCTGCGGATCTGCTGCGGTGGTGGTGGAGGATCGATGTTGGGGAGGCGGAGGCGTTCGGGAGTCGAAGAGGAAGCCATGGCGGTGGTGGTGGAGGATCGATTCGACGGATCTGTTCAGATCTATTTTGGATGATGATAATGATGATAAGAAATGAGAGAATGAGAGAAATTTGTGTGTGTGAATGAGACTGTGTTCAAAAACCGGGGTCGGGCATCATATATTATATATATAAACAGGGATAAAATAGTAATTTATATCGGGGGGCAACCGGGCCGGGGATCGAGGCCGGGGTCGGGCCGGGTCCGGGACTGAAACATGTATCCCCGTCCCCGGCCCGAATACCATCGGGGATTTAATTTTTAATACCACCCCCGGCCCGTCGGGGATATTTTTCAGGGAATAATCACTCAATTCGGGATCGGGTCCCCGTCAGGTCGGGTTCCGATTGCCATCTCTATTGAAATTGGATTAATAGTCCAATAAAATTATTAATCCGATGTTTGGTTAAAAAATTAAAGTACAGACTAACAATTCATCTGGATATGGTATCTCACATATAATGGACTATTCAATCCTACATAGGGGGTAGGATATAAATTGGGGGACTATTATAAAGGGGTTTTGAAAGTTCTAAATTTTTTTTCTGTCATTTTAATAAGAAAAGGAAGTTAAGAGGGATTTATGGCCAAATTTTTCTCAATGTAATTATAATGATATCTTGATGTTTAAGTTATGAAATATATAGCTTTTTATAACTAGTGTTAATGTAATTATAATGTTATCTTGATTTTAATGAAATATATAGTTTTTTAATATAATTAGTGTTATGTTACATACTTTTCAATATTTTTAAATAAATTATTCATATGTATGACATAATAAATTTGTAAAAATATAAAATGTTAATGAATACAAAGCATGTGGTGTCCTATGTTTTTTGAAAATTGATGTGTTGGGGGTGATTGTGTCATGTTGAGTTGTATCTCCGTGTACGTGCTCCCTAGCTAATGTTAATTGCACTTGGTTTTCACTGTTAAGTCACCCAAACTGTCACAGATCCCATGAGATGGCTTATTGTCATTAATAATTCTCTCCAAAAATCAAGTATCCAATGCATCGTCTGTGTGTACTCTTGAAATTTATCCGTGTGGTTGTCCTAAATAAGTTTTCTGCTGCCTAAATAGAATGTATAGGCAGTGCTAGCCCATGCAATGGGTCAATGTAAGAGTATCTATACCTACGGGCACATGTGCTGCGCATACTGGTAATGTAGTCATGTTTCCAACTGTTGTTCAGGCTTTGTATCTAAGTAACAATGGACTCGAATCCCTCCCATCAACCCTGTTCAAAATGTGCATCCAGCTCTCAACACTGGATCTCCATGGCACACAAATAACAATGGATGTTCTCCGCCAGGTATCAACTAATCTTATACATTGACTGGTCCACTATGCTTATATTTTATTTCGAGGCTATGGTATCAACAATTTTATTAATAGTTTGAAGGATGGGAAGATTTTGATGAGCGGCGCCACTTAAAACATCAGAAGCAACTGGATTTCAGAGTTGGGGGAGGATCTACCAAGTTCGATGAGGGTGCTGATAAAAGTTTTTGACAGTTCGGTGCTTAAAAAAGCTGATGATAGAGAGCTGTTTTATCTGTGCAAATTAGCTGTGAAAGAAAAATTGATCCGCATTGATTTGATGAAGCAAGAAATTTGCCTTTGGACATTACCTAGCATTGTCCAATGTTATTCATTTTTGTGGAGTGGATTACAGAATTGTTCTCTCTATTGCTTTACGGGGAATTTTCACTATATTACTGGCAAATAATGAATGGTAAACAATTACAGATTTGTCATACATTTGTGAGGTAGAGCATGTGGTATGAAAGTTCGACTTGTTGAGAATTTGTAGATGCCTGTTGTCAATTTGATCCACACGACATTCTTATGTTGTGTTTAGTTAGGAGATTTGAATAAAAATTTGAAAAAGAAAATGAGAAAGACAAGTGAAATGTGAATAAAATTTACCTATGTTTCACACATACTTTCTTTTTCTATTTCTGTTTCTATTTCTCTTTCCCTTTTCAAATTCCTCTCTAAATCCTGCAACCAAATATAACATTAAAAGATAATTAACCACAAAAGCGTTGCATCCTCAAAAGATAATACACTATTAGGCACAATTGGAAAGGTAACAGCTCACTTCAGATGCTCGTTGTCTACTTCCTGCGAATAAGGCTCTTATAACAAATACAGTTAGGTCATATTTGTTTGGGTAGACATGAGCTTGAGATTGGACTAATAATCCAATAAAATTATTAATCCGATGTTTAGTTAAACAATTGAAGTACGGACTAATTATTTTAAACTTAACTATTAGTTAAGATAAGATACATAATCCAACAGATTCATAGTCCTAAGACTATTAGTCATGGAAATGTTAATCCAATCTGCCCAAACAAACATGGCCTTACATCTCAAAACCACCTAAGCCATGACTCAGCAAGTAACTAAGATAAAACCTAGACATCAGATAATGCCCTCTAAAACAGATACGAAAAAATAATTAAACAAGGAAACAGAAAAGCCAAAACAAATCACAGGTATTCAATGTTTTAACTCTCAGAGATTATATATGTAATGTGCAGCTAATATAGTAAATTTTATCAATTTCGTGTGCTCATCCTCGACTGGAACACCAGAATTGAAAGACAAATGTGAATACAGTATTCTCAACCTAGAGTCTCTAGCTTTAACACACTTTCATGATTATTCAAACAACAAACCTTAACGGTAGTATATGGAAATCTGCGGGATGTCGATATCATTATCTTCATCATCCTCACAAGCCACCACCACATCCAAGTGCCGACGGTACGGCGGCAGTTCCACCTTAGCCACCTCCCTAGCCAAATCCACCATCTTCTTGTCCATCCTTTCTCTGTGACGAGGGAACATGCTATTGTAGAGCAGGCAACTTCCACATGAAATACTATATGCATTCAGCCCCTTGTCTTCGAGCCATTGGAGAAGTTGCCTCAAAGTTGGATTGTCTTTAACAATCCAACGGTCCCAAATAGTCCAGCTCATGTCTCGGTGCTTTATGACTTTAGGCGGGACTGGCTCAGCCATGGAGAACAGAGGGAGTGCTAGGTTGGCAAATGTGTTGCGATAGTCCTCTACTTTGTGTCCTCCATCTAGAACCTTGTACAGCTCCAGACAAACGAGACCAGTGGCCATTGCCGTGGAGGTTGCAATTGCAGGTATAATCCTTCCAGCTATGAATTTGGCTTTCAGTTTATCAACTTCAGGAATACTGTAATTCCTCGCCCTCATATTCGCAAGCCCGGCTATGAAATCCATATGGTAGTTCGTGTCATCATCCTGCACATACCCGCGACAAGATTAGGAACCTAAAATTCTGAGAAGAGATCTGAATCGTCACCAATCCTGTGTTTTTCAAAATGGAAATGCAAAGCATCCATCCTTACCACTCCCATACTTTGGATTAGTGTTACCAAAAAACAATACCCTAGTGAATTACATTTTGGGATGCACATACTAAACCATGATACACTTTCGCTTCAAAACAGTAAATTTAGCAATCCAAAGCAATCTCAAAAAAAAATTTCAATATATTTTCTTAAAATCGTGTTTGGATATTGGATCTGTGAAGAAAAAAGAGTAAGAGACGGAAAATGTGAATGAACATAACCTAAAGTTATCCCCAGGAAGGAAAAAAATCAAATATAATGTACAAAAATCAGAAGTGAGAACAAAACTTCAAGAATCGGTTATAATGCTCCTAAAAATATACTGCTACATGATTAATTTGGGAAAAAAATTACATATTATCGGATGCTTAATGGTTAAAAAGAAATTTACTTCAAAAGTAACTTAAATTCTTATAGTGTAATCAATATATATCCCTTTTTAGAACATATGCATACCATCTTCCCTTTCTCATTCCCCGTACTAGAACAATCCACATTCTAGGTAACATAGCTTTGGACCAAATAGCTTTAACGATTAGGAACAGTAAATATGCATATGTTTAAAATTTAAAGAGAGGAAATGAGAAAAACCTTCTCAAATTGAATTGGTTTCATCCTGAACTCAGGTGGCAGATTCTTCCGGCACTGTTCTAGCTTCATGATTAGTTCATTGATGACTGCTGCATCATCTATAGATGCAGTGGAAAGGCTGGTAGCCTTCTCATCGGTCACAATTTTCACATCTTTCTTCGGTTGAAATTCAGGGACCATCACTTTATCAAGAGCTTCAGCCAACTTCCTAGGGTTCTTGGCCCAATCCGGAATTGGGATGCCAAATGTCTCCGCCCGTAGTATCGATCCTGCCAGAATAAATTGCAGGTGGCTGAGATCGGCAACGGAGAATTGCAGTGGCTGGGGGAAGCGCTTAGGGGCGGACCAAAATGGAGCCCCTGTACTGGTTGCGGCATCTTCAGGGAAAGTAAAAATCAACTGTTTCACACGGCTAGCAAAATAATCTTCAAACCTACAGACACAAGGGTAGAAGTGTCAGAAAAAGACCTATCATACTAATGGAAGGAGAAAACAAGATGATCAATAATCAAGTTACTTTAGACGGGCCCAGGTAATGCAATCTTGGAATGTTTCGCATCTTTCACTGTCAAGGCACTCCAGAACACGTTCGAGATTATCCCTGGCCTGAGCATCACCAGCATTCCCCATTGCAGATGCATACTCGCTCGGATTTGAAAGAAAAGCATTCACTTCTGCTGGTGTTTTCTCGAGCCAGCCTTCAAATTCTGATCGAGCCCATGTCAAGCAGTGATCAATGTTGTGTGGGAATGAGTGAACAGTGCACATGGGTGCTTGTTTCTCTGGGGGATCTCTTGAGGCACCATAGTTTTCGGTCAGGTGAGGAATGACCATCTGAGTGTTACACTTTGCACCTAGGGTTCCCGACTCAAGAAGGGGCTTTTGGAAATATAAACATCTCTGATCAACATAAAGCCTGGCATTGACGTTATCGAGGGCATTAATAACAACATTTAGATTCTCCCAGAAGGTATCATCAAAAACATTCTCAGTCTCGGGGCCCACACGGTTCTGCAAAGCTTCTATATAGAGACGAGGATTTATTAATGATACAGCAGAAGCAGCAACAGTAGATTTTGCCTGCCCAATGTTCCAATCACGAAAGAGAAACTGCCTGCTGAGATTACTCTTCTCAATGACATCATCGTCAGTAATTGTCATCTTTCCTTGGCTGTTGCAGGAAACTCCCATCAGAGCTAAATTCTTCAGAAACTCGCAGCCCAGTGCGCCAGATCCCACAACAAACACCTGAGCATCCTCAAGTTTCTTCTGGAGTTTCGACCCAAAAACTGAAATCTGTGCATCGTAACGGCTATTCAATGGTCTGAGATCGCTGGGTTCTAGAGGTTCCGTGGGAAGTGATTCAACTGAGTCGAAGTAAAAGAACTGTAGAAACATGGTGAAATAAATAGTTTTAGGTTACCATGATAAGACATCAAATTCAACGAGTACAGAAAATGTCAGACTCACTAACACCGATAAAATTTATGTCTCCAAGAGGGATTTAAAAATAAAAAAAAATGTTAATTCTAAATAGAATGGGAAAATCCACATACACGCGCACGCACACATACAAGGGAAACAAAATTTACACTTGTTAATCCAACATTTTAGTAAAATTAGTCACCTGGAAAAGTGGATGGAACTTTCCAGAGCATGCCTTCATGACCTCCTGTCCAACGATACCACCAAACATGGCAGCCATGGGATTCAAAACTGCTCGGGCACCGAACGCCAAGTGCCGCAAAAGTTTCGGGTTAATATCTTCCACTTTCCCATCTCCAGAGCTTTCATTGATATCACTGACCATAGATATCAGCTTCTGAGCATCCTCTTCTGAGCCAGCAACAGGGAAGTGTCCCAGTTCAGAAACAAACTTATCCAGCGCTTGGAATGCCAAGTGCAGTAGAGGTGGGCGGTCAAACTTGGAGAAATCACTCAGAAGAAAATCACCAGGATCTTTGAGTGATTCTCTCAATGACTTAAAGTTCAACACCTTGGGCTGCTTCACCTGTGTTACAATACCACCTTTCTCATAAGTACCAAAAATTGTAGTGTCGTCCTCAAGAATGAACGAGTATGGCCTTGCACTTTTGATTTTTCTTGGCTTTCCGTCATTGAGTTCTGCCATTCCCTTGACTTCAGAAAACACAACAAGATCTCCATCCTGGAACTCAAGCCTTTCATCATCAACACATGACACAAATGCAGGGTTATCATTACTGATGGAAGCAATAATACCCGTGTGTGGTTCCTCGCCATCAACATCAACAACTGTAAACTCAGGTCCAAAATCACAAAACACACTTCCAAAAAGGCCTCTAACTTCAGCCTTGACGAATGCAATAGGAGGCTGGTGATTACGGCAGTAATCATTGAACTCAATGGCTTTCTCTTGGTTAATGTCAGTAAAAACCACAGCCTGCATCACCAGAAAATATAGAAGGTTGACCTTTTAGCAATAAAATCCGACAAATAAAGAAAGAAAAACAGAACATAAATTGCAAACATGCATACATACGCTAGAAGTGCATCTATATCATGACAGGGAGAACAAAGACGGCTACACCAGCAACCCTTTCATAGTATGATTATTTTTTTCCCTTTTAAATAAGAGAAAAATAAATAGCTTCTGAAATTTTGCAAAGCTGCACTTAAAGAACTTGTAGAAAAAAAAAACAATGCATTTTCCATCGGGGTTCACACATAGGAGTTTTAATAATAGCAACATTCCCATGATCATATAGATGCAGGCAGCAGCCATCCCTGGCTTGCATAGGAAATAACATTTGTTAAGGTACTTAAGAAAAAAAGTTATCAAATGGGCAGAATTAGTCAGTCCAATGAACTGGATAACAAGTTATCCAAAAAGAAAAAAAAGGTACTTAAGAAATCAAAGGTGCAAACAAAATATTCAAATCAAGGTTCAAACAGCAACAACAATGCAAAAACAACACTAGAGATTAAACTCTTCAACCAGCAAGAAAACCCTCAGTTACACAAAAATAAAATAAAATAGATTTGCCATCATGAACTCAAAGGCGATAACAAGGGGCTCAAAACACAATCAAAGTGATACATTAAGAACAGGAAAACTCCCACATAGAACGTCACCGCCATTAGAAGATTGAAAGTAACACTACTTCAGGCAACAATAATTGAGACAATCAATGCATACATCAAAGCAAATATATAACAAGCAACATAATACATTGAAGTTCACATCCAGAGGTATTAACTTACTCCCACAAGGAAGCATGGAAGTTCAGGCCCCACAATATCACATCTAATGGAATATTAATGAAGTGAATATTTTACTTTCCACATAGAGGCAGCCAATACATTCAACCATCACTTCAGGCAAAAACAACACATCCATTATCTATTCAAGCACAACAGTTTCCATGCTGCAAGGCAATTATATTACAAGCAACGGGTAATTTAAAGGTCCATATATCAAGGTAACATGGCAACTTCAAGATGTAATATGTAGCCACCAGACTTATTAAAAGAATGGGGGAAAGAGAAAAACAGAAGGAATATCTATCTAGACAAAATGGCAAGTTCCACATAGAGGCAGCCAATACATTCAACCATCACTTCAGGCAAAAACAATCCATCCATTATCTATTCAAGCACAACAATTTCCATGCTGCAAGGCCATTACATTACAATTGCAATGGGTAATTTAAAGGTCCATACATCAAGGTAACATGGCAACTTCAAAATGTAATATGTAGCCACCAGACTTATTAAAAGAATGGAACAGAAAAACATAAGGAATATCTACCTAGACAAAATGGCAAGTTCCTATATTACATATACCATCAAGACCGCAAAAAAGAATATTTTCCATATTACTTCAATAATGTCTGAGGCAATCATACTTTCTATCCATCTAGGCAATAACAAAGAATGGAAACGTGATAGTTTACGGTTCTCATATTAAGGTTTTTAGCCAAAAAAACCACTACAAATTGTCACATCACTCTCTCTACTTTTCTGCACATATTTTCATTAAAATTCAAAAAACCAACTAAAATAGCCAATTCCCAAATGGAGCCTAAGGTAACATGGAAAATTAACTAGGCAACAAAATATTGTAAAGGTCCCGTGTGATCCTGTTACCAAAGGGATGCAACCTGTAAAATTCGCACAAGAAACAATTATCAATCATGTTAGAAGGTTTAGGATTTAGTGTGTTGACAATTTCCATGGACAAAACATGTGCCAAGCATCTAGGCTAGGTGCAGAGGTCTATGTGTCCAACCGCTAAAGAGTCGAGATGTCCAACATTAATGGATTGTGTACCCTGGTTCAAAATCATGTACAATTGCATGAACATATTGCATTAGTTAACAAGACATTGGGACTCAAGTGAAAGTCAAATATTCAACATTTATTTTCAGTGAGGAACTATGAAAGGATACTTGTATGGATCCATAGCGGCAGATGAGAGAGAGACAGAGAGGTAAGAGAGAGGAAGATGAAGTTATAGTCTGGGTATGTGTAGAGGTCCGGCGGGCGGCCAAGGCGAGGCTGCCGCCCGCCGGTGAAGCAGAATGAATAGGTTCTTAACCTTGCTCTGATACCATGTAATAATTTATGTATTATTGATTGATTGATTGATTGTTGTTATATTACAACTCCTATATAACTCCTATATATAGAAGAGAAGATGGTAGTAGGTGTAGGTGGTAGTGGAGGTGGTAGGTGGAGTGGGTGATGGTGGAGGTGGTAGGTGGAGTGGGTTATGGTAAATTCTAACAATATATATAAATAAAAAAGTGAGAGAATGTGCTCATATAAAACATCAAAATTCTTGTATTTGGATATCGCATTATTACTCTCTTTGCATATTTGTAATGTGGGGTTACAAAATAGGACCTAGAACATCTTAAATTGGGATAAATACCCTTATACTTGAGAAGTTACTTTTAGCCACTCCACAGATACTCGAATTTTGTTCTTGGATGAGAGAGTTGATTTGTTTTTCTTCTCTATTTTGGAATTTAATTGTTTCGATATTTTTATTGAATTCAAATGGTGGGTATTCCATTATTTATATGAAATAAGTCGTGTGCATTGAACAATGTTTGCTATAAAGCTAATTCTGTAGAGATCCAAAGAGGTCCACTCCATAAAGAGTTCGAGCAGACACATGCGCCAACTATGAACTCGCAAATACAAAGAGCTATATTCACTACCAGCTCAAATGGAGTGAACAAGCGAAAGTTGGTGCAATTTGTTTCTTGTTCAGATTTCAACTCTTAAACCTTTATTAACTCTCTTTTATTTATCTAGAATTAAAAAGACACAAGATTAGCAACCTCGGTGCATCATAGAGAGCTCTTTGAGAATTACACATTGTTTGGGATGTGCTATACAAGTGTACTTTTTGACTTTTGATTTAAAAAATTGAAAAAAAAATATGTATGTTTGGGATAACCTTTTGACTTTTTACGAAAAGATGTGTAATAAAATATTGTAATAAAATCAAAATTACAATTTTACCCTTTTTGACTTTCGGATAGTTGAATTCAAAAGGCAAAATAATAATTTTTCCCTAGTGGCTTCCCTCACAAGCTACTCTTGAATAGTATAAACTTTGTAGCTTTTTTAGTAACTTTTTGGCTTTTTTAGTTTACCCCCAAACAAGGCCTTACTTTCTACACATTATTTTCAAGAATTTTCATTTTTTCATTTACACACAAGTTCTAGAACGAGTCTTTTACACAAAAACTCACATTTGCATTGCATTATCTCATTAAACCTTTGGCCATTGGTAACAAAGTCATTGGATATAGAAATCCGAGTTAGAAGTTTCGTGGAGCACTTTTGAATCAGAAGACACAAAGGATCAAAACCAAGAGAAGTGGAGAACAAGTGCAAGGAGAAATTGCATTAGACTTGACAAAGTTAGGTGAACAGTGTAAGGGGTAGTAATTCCTACCGCCTTGAGTCTTGTACTTCACATCTTTCATGAATTGTATGCTTTTGGACTTAAAAATTATTAGGCAACTTAAAATTCATTAATAGGATTAATGACTTGGGCCAAATCACTGAATCAGCAATTTCAAATTACCACTAACTACTCAGGCATTAACATTTTTTTTTTTTTTTTCCCTAAACAAAGTAGCCTCCACAAAGCAAGGAAAATATGTATCAAGGTAACATGATCATTTTAAAAGCAACATGGAATTTTAAAGCTCACAAGACCACATTTGTTATTTCGAAAATAGAGGCAGCCATTAATTATTAGTAACTACCACTTCAGGAAACATAATCAAAAAATCATCTTCACCAGTTTAAAAAGATTTTAGTTTACGTAAGGGTGACTATGTAGCCATTACATAGGAAAAATCGCATCCAAGTAGCACAGATAATTTAGGGGAATAGATCAAGGCAACATGGTTTTTAGATGTGGAAGCACCAATCAATTTGCAATAATCATTGACTTCAAAGTTCAAACAACAACAACCCCCACGAGTTGGCCTAGTGGTGGAGGCTTGGGACTTAGAAGTTTGCTCCTCTCTAGGTCTCAAGTTCAAAATCTCTTAGATGCTATCAACTCTTGTGTTGGGCCAGTCCATACGCAGCTCTGCTCTGGCTTTGGCTTTAAATGAGCCCCCCGCTAGTGGACGGTAGGATTGGTCCCCCAGGGATTAGTCGAGGTGCGCGCAAACTGGCCCGGACACCCTGAGTTATCAAAAAAGTTCAAACAACAACGATTGAGGCCAAAACGCAACTTCCATGCATTGAAGCAACCACATAACGACACCATGTTTGAGTTCCACATATTCTCATCATAAGGTACTATGGTAGTCTTCTAATGCAACAAGAAAATTCAAAATCCCATAGAATACATGTCGAGGGGAATATGAGTTGAGCCACTATCATGGGTAATATGAACCGAATTTAACATCAAGAACTCCACATGGAAGTCAACATGATTTACGAGAACAATTTTCCACCGCTGTACATAACATGAATTAAGAAAACATGACCCAAAGAAAGATACCTATTGAGGAAACATGACTGTATCAAAGTCACATGATTCACGAACCATTTCATTTAACTAAGCAAAATGATACGTGAAACCTAGGTAGTAGAAACACCCAACATGATACAGATGCGTAGACACGTTAATTTTCAAAAAATGGACACAACACACTTGGGACACATTAAAATTTTATGTTTTTACAAATTTATTATATGTCATATATATAATAAAATTTATTCAAAGATAATAAAAAATATATAACATGACACTAATTATATTTAAAAGCTATATATTTCATAACAAATTCACGTAATAATCACATTATAAAAAATGCAAAACAATTATCGAACAATGCAATACATATGATATATTCATCTTATAAATATTTCAAAACATATTTAGAGTGAATAAATTGTGTTCTGAATAATGCATAATATTGTTATTATAATGGGACTCATCACCTATGATGTGTTCGGAGTATTTAAGAAATGCGCCATTGAAATGTCAATAAGTATCCAATATTATGAATTTGATTTTTTATTTTAGACGCGTTGCCATGCTTTTATGAGTGTCCAAAAAAGCGTCAGTGTCCGATACGAGTGTCAAACACAACACGCTTCCTCAGAACAAGTGTCCGTGCTTCTTAGCTTGAAACAAAGCATTGAACATCCATCTATTGAGGCAAAAACATATTTCGAATTTCAATATTCACAAAGCTCTTGTGACTTGCAAAGCAATATATAGCTTTTGATTTGGCAGGGCATTGGAATATCGTATTGCCTCCATAAGTCCATATATGGCCCAAACCTCAATAAAATAGAGTTTACTATGCTGCCTGGATAAATATCTACCCACTAACAAACTCCTGTAAATGATGATCAAAACAGCATATTGTCATGTGCCTTGGCAGGTTAATGGTTTGAGATCATACCAAACCATAATATCAAGGAAACTCTTTATTGAAGTGACGAAGGGAAGAATTCACATTATCTTTTCTTAAAATAGGATTGTATCAATGGGATGGGGTCGGTTAGACAATGCCATGTTGGTAAACAAGGATTAATTTGTTAGCAAGGTAAGGAATGTATGGTCAATTATTCATTATAACTCTAGGAGACCTAGTTTCCTTTAAGTAAAAGATTTTGGCCAATCAAAAAGAAAAATTATCAATATAGAAACTATTTTGAGACCCCATTCAACTTGGACAATGAAAAGATTCTTGCAAATTACAAATTAGGCACCACTTTGTAGAAAAGTATAAAGGCAATCCAATGCACGAGGCTCCCACCACTGCAGGATATGGAACCAGTTAGATCTACAGTATTACCCCAGTATGCGGAGAGACAGTTTTTGTGTTTTGAACTCATGACGGTCAAGTCATAATGGCACAACCTTTCTGGTCTACCATGGCCCACTATTACCACTATGTGGAAAATCCTCGGATACATAATATGTTAGGCCATGAGACTCAATATGTGAAACAGTATCTATCATAATTTTTCCACATGCTGATCAATAGTTGAGGCATCAGCTTTAAAGTTTCAACAGACAAGCACTGAGGCAGTATTTTGATTGCTCACAAAATAAAATAGCATAAAACAAGAAAATTATCCCTCTAGAAACATGGATCATTTTAATAGACCAAGGCAGCTAATTCCAGAAAACATGGTGGTTCAAGATCCTTCCCAGAACTTAAAAAAAAAAAAAAAAAAAGCTTTCAGCAACTCGTGTAGCAACAAATATCACAAAATGCACACTATATCAGTTCAGTACTTACAGGTCACAAGCAGATCAGATGGCCTACAAAATAATAAACCTATTACGTAACTATAGAAACTATGGAAACAATTGTTGCATACTAAGGGGCAAGAAATGACAATCAAAATGTTTTTGGCCCGGGGGGGGGGGTGGAACAGAACATAAAACAATATAAAAAAAAAATCTGAGCAAGTTTAGATCAATCAGTGAGATAAATACACAGTAAATTACCTGGAAATCAGAAAGTTGTTCTTTCATCAATTTTGAGGTTAACGTAGAAATGGCCACAGCATTGTTGAGCTCCTGCAACTTTTGAACAGATGCAAGGGCCCTGTTCTTACCAACATCATTCTCTGAAAAAATAAAATTGCTGGACAAATCCCACAACTCCACTGTCCCCTCATCATGCAATGTGACAGACTTGACACCAGCAAGTACAAGGTTCTTCGCTGCATGTGAAACACAAAACATTACACGGCCATATGATAAAATCCTGTTTAAACACATGAAGTACTAAAAATTCATTTCTAGATTACGGATCTGTCCCACTAGTCAGAACTCGTCAAGAATAATCGTTAACAACTAGACAGTGTACAGTCAAAGAAGAAATGAAGCTACAAACATTATCAGTGCTATTGGGAAATGGCAGGGTAAAAAATCTTCTCTCAAAAAGAGACAGTTAAAATGTTATATATCCAGTATCTGCTCTTAGAAGAAAGTGAAGAGTACTTTAGTTAATTGGTAAAGATGTTCGGAGTGGAACATCTCAAATGATATCATGAAGCATCGATCGAGATTTTAGAATGCTTTAGAAATTCAGATGCTTCAGGTGACTAGCATGTGGATTAATTGCTATTATTAAGTTCAGTGAATTGGAGCAGATTGTGTATCTAGTAGTTTTTAGCTGTTTCGCAGCTGAGAGTCAGTTGTTTGTCTTGGTAGTGTGCCCTACTTTATGCTATACATGATAAATTTTCCTTCTAGTGAATTATTATACAATACAAAACTAGGATCTCCCTAACCATAGCCAACAAGATGCAACAAAAACAAGCAAGCAATCAAGCAATATTTTGTAACGGAGAATAAATAGCAAAATAAACTATAAATGAAGAACAAAACAAATCTGATGCATAAGTTAAGAATTTGCAACTCCGTAATCAGATGTCAAAAACTACTCTAGGTTCAAAATCACACAATCCATCCTATTGTGTTAATCACTAAAATTACACAAAATTAACAACCAGCAAGGTTCAAAAGTCGTACCAATTTCGACACCGAGGCCTTGCATCCCGGAGACAAGGACGTTAGAGGCGAAGAGCCGCCTCATAGTCTCGCGTCCGTACACAGCTAGCTGTCTGCTGTGCAGATCTTCATCGATATCCATCGGATTCCCATTACCAAAAGCCATATCCGGCAATACTCTAATACTAGCGCTGCTTAGGTTACTGCTGCTGCTCCCGATAACGCTGCTATCGCTCTTGTTACAGTCCTTGGGCGTCGTATTAGCTTCGGTGGCTGTTGATTTTCCGGTGGAGGATTCCGATGAAGAGATGAAACAACCGACACAATGCTTCTTGAGCAAGTTTTCTCCGTCACTAGAGTCGCCTTCTTGAACAGGTCTCTTTCTAGGAAGCATAAAGTGCAACAAACTGCTAAAAGCCCCACAAAACCCCATCGATACGATCAAAAACAGAAATGAATTGAACAAATTAAGATCAAAACAGTGGTTATACACCAATCCAAAAGCGATCGGTGCTGTGACTACAAACCCTAACCCTAACCTCCTAAATAGTGTCATATTGAAATCGATTCGAGAGGAGAGTTGGGAAGAAAGGAAGATTAATCAAGAGAGAGAAAGGATGATTAGAAGAGAGGGATTAAAGAACGTACCGATTGGAGCTCTGGCGCGGAAAGGAATGGAATCTGAGAGAGAGAGATTGGGAGATGGAGACAACAGTGTTTAGCTTTTGGTTTTGGCATTGATCGAACGGTGTTTTTACGTTTTTGAGAGAATTTTTTTCAAGCGTGTTTTGCGGTCATTTGTAGAGAGAGAGAGAGAGTTCAGAGAGACAGGTGAAGGGGGGTATCCGTATCCTTGTGGATTTGTGATTTCTAGGGTTTTGTGGGCCTGTGGAGAGAACAATCACGAGAAGCTAATGACAGGATGTGGCAAGGAACGACGTCATGGGACGTGTAAATGTCGTGAAACGACGTCGGGTTTGGACAAATAAGGGGGGTGTTTGGTGAGGATTATAGGAATAATTATATCTTATTTTAATTTAAAAATTTAGGCCAGCTTATAATTTTTTAAGTAGAAATAACTTAAATAAATTAAAAAATTTGAATTATTTAAAAGTTAGAGAATGAGTGCTTTTAATTTCTATTTTCTGATTATCAACTTTTAACTTAAAATAAACTGGACTAAACAGTATCAACGTGGATTTATTTGAACCAAGTTTGGCATATTTGAAAAAAGACAAAAAGTCAAAAAGTCACTATCATATTTAAGTCACATCATCTTATTTAAGTCAAATCACCTCTCTAACACATCACTTCAAACCTAACCCAAACTCAACCCATATTTCATAAAAAGTCAAAAAGTGCACTTATTTAGATCATCCCAAACAACCCCATAATGTTAAAATTAGAGTTTAGATCCTCTTCTTAATCTCTTTCTTTATCTCCCTATTTATAATCATGAAAATATATCTTAAAATGATTTAATGATCCGAATCTGAATATTTAAAGATGGATTTCCACCGTCATAAATAAGGATATAAGGAGTGACAATCCAAATTCTTAAAATTAACGTATTGATTTATTTAAATGATATTTTCTTAAAAGAATTTATATGAAAATAAATAATAATTAAAAAAAAATTCGTACTTGCCCAGAACAACTCGGAGAACTTGATTCTCTATGCGGTGACCTACTAACACCTGACGGGTCCAAATTGAACAGAGTTGGGCGTGGTAGACCCGCAATTAATGGACCCCATATAAGCATTTTGGCCTTTGCTTTATATTTTTAAGTAAGGGATTGTTTGGGATGATCTAGTGTATTTTTTGATTTTTTATAAAATATGGGTTGGGTTTGAAGTGATTTGTTAGAGAGATAATGTAACTTAAATAAGATGATATGACTTAAATAGGATAATGACTTTTTAACTTTTTATCTTTTTCAAGAGATACCAAACTTGGCCTAAATCTACTTTTCTCAAAAACAAAAAAAAAAAAAGTGACCATAATTTTTGCTCGAAATTTTCTAGTAGATTTTTACAAAATTAATTATATATCAATAGTAAATTTTATCAATATTAATTATTAAAATCATAAAATTTTCAATGAATGTGTAATTATTTTTTTAAAAATACACTGAATGATGTTTTTTTCTTAATTTTTAAATGTGATTGGAATTCAATTGGTAGGAATTGTGCATTAATCAATTTAAGTAAAATTTTGAATGAAATTTTTCAATAGATAGTATTACTCCTATATTTTTTTCTCTCAATTATTTAGATGTCCTGGATTGTTCTTACAACTACACATATTTTCACTTTCATTTTTAAAATTATATCAAACTTTTTCACTTTAATTGATAACAAGGGGTGTAAATCTCGCTGACCGCCCCGTGATCCGGTGCGACCCGGCCAGGTCGTGGCCCAAACCCAAACTGAAACCCTGATTCTAGGTTTGAACAATTTGTTTAGAAGTTCGACCCGCCAAGCCTGACCTATGAGTTCTATCCGATTGGCTCGAATTTTTTTGTAAATTTTTTGTAATATTTTATTTTATTTTGAAATAAAAGTTATTCATTAAACATTTATCTATTTAATTTAATGATTGTAATATTTCGTTTCATTTTGATATATATTAAATTATTTATTTCATTTTATTTTATTTTTTAAAAGACTATATACGTGCCTCATAACTAAAGAAAAAAATAACATAATTTCATACTTTTTAATCATAACTAAAAAAACATAAGTCACAACTAAATACCACATGAAACATAATGAAATATCTCATTAATCATAACTAAAATACTATAATACAACTTTTCTTTTGTTTTTATCCCTCATAAATAATCTATATATAATATCTATCAATTATTTTTCTCAAAAAAATAAGGCCCGCCAGGGCCGAACCCAAGCCCATGACCCTGTTTTGAGTAGGCATGGGCTTGGATCTGGGCCTAAATCTTTTTTCACAGGACCTGACCCAAATTTTGATGGGAGCCCGCACTACCCGACAATGGACCACCCCAAGCCCTGGTCGGGCCAAATTTGCACCCTTAAATTCTTCTCAGTTAACTTAGGCCTTGTTTGGAAAGTAAGATTTTTAGTCAAAAAAAGTTTTAAAAAATCAAGGGTAAACTATCAATAGGTATTAATAGTTGGATTTAATTCCAATCAAATCCTGTTAAATGTAAGTTCCAATAAATCGTCACTAAACATAATTTTTTATGACTTTTTTTGCATATGTCGCTAAAAATTAATAATTAATGACTTTTTTATGAGGAATTTTTCAATTTGTCATTGAAAGTTGAAAATTAGTGATCTTTTTTTTTACTATTTTTTTAAACTGTTGCTAAAACTTATAATTAGTAGCATTTTTTATGACAAAATTGTCAAATTGTTGCTAAAAATTAACAATTAGTGACACTTTTTAATATTATTTGATGAAAAACGTCATTAATTATTATAGAACTGTGAAGAAGTGATTTGGAAATACTCTTCTGATCCTGGGGGACGCTAATAATCCTCTGCTAGTCACCTGAAAAGGAAATGAACACTCCGGTCGGGGGTACCGGAATTAGCAATCCGACGGACAAGTCAGTCTCTACTCACTCTGGATTACTTGTATTCTAAGCTAAGCACAATAGTTCTCACATACCTTTCTAGAATTGAAGATCTTGTATTTATAGTACTCTCTTTGGGCCTTGGGGCCTGGCTCAACCTTAGTCATTTACATGTACATCTACTCGGCCTTTGTTTCACTAATAGAAATGCCAACTAATCTATTCGGCCCTTTAATTGAATAGGGTTAAAACCGAGTAGAGATCATGTTCTGGACCGGACTGGTCCACTCCTGTTGATCCAGAATTATTCGGCTCCCACAATTGCCCCCCAAACACCCCACTAGCATTAGTTAGTCGGCGTGTTTGGCTTCTAGTCTGGAGGTTAAAAATTCGGCGGTTACTCCTCTTCCCGATGCGTGTCAGAACGCGTACATGCTTTTTGGTCATTGTAATGCTTTCTCGCCCCTTCGTACACTGCCTCCATTTAATGCAATTTGAATTTGTCTTTTCGAATGTATGTTTTGAATACTCAAAGATATCTGGCTCGCCTTCTAGTGCAACTCCTACATTCCGCGACTTCTACAAACCCTTGTTTCTCGCTCCCTCCTTCGTCTCCTGTAAGTTTTCTTCTCCTTCATTTTTGATCCCCCTTCTTTACCTGTTTTTAGTTTTCCATAATCCTTGGGTTGGCCAAAATGGCAAAACATCTAAAGGAGCTCCTTTCTGCGGATCGAATCTCCAGCTTTCGACGTCATTTTTCCATCTCCGACGACATCTATCTGTCATTTTTGGCAGACAACACCACTGATATGGTGAGGAAAGATGAGAGCACAATCGTATTTCTTCTCCTATCAATTGTTGAGGGCGGCGTCCGTTTCCCTCTCCATCCACTTTTGAGGGTCATTCTTCGGTACTGGGGTCTCATCCCTTCCTAGCCCAATGTGAACTTCTTGGATACTGATCATCACTTAGTGACCATGCTTGCCAGCTTTGGCAAGCGTATCGATGACATGATGGTCGTTGTCTGCGGTAATTGGGAATTCGGCGAAAGTGAAGATCGCCTAAACCCTGTGCCAAGGCGAAAAGGCGAACCAGGTGGCCGATCAAATCACTGTTTCTGTTATTTACATATGTATGTATTTGGCACTAAGCTCATCTAATCGTTTTGTTTATGCAGGCAGCGACTTGAAGAGAGTGTTGGTTTCAGACGACGACGTTGTACTCGCAGAAATTAAAACCGCGCTACAGTTCGTCGGCCGTCCAGACCTTCAAAAACAAAGGAGGGCAGTCCATATTCTCCTACGGTACGAGCCAACTTACACAACGTTCTCGGCGGCAGACAATATTTCGATCGCGCGAGGCGACAATCGTCTTACAGCCCTCATCTTCCCCAGCTTCAAAAACTTGAGACAGATCGGCTTAGAATCACCTGATTCTAAACACATGGAAGAACAAGTGGCTGAACCAATCGCCGAGGACCCGGACCGATTGGCCGCAGAAGTTGACAAAGCTATTAATTCGGCTTTCGAGGAAGCCGGATTGAACTCTTCTGACCCTCCGTCTATAACAGGCCGAGGGGACGCCTTCGAGGATATTTTTACAAACTTGGGAGACCTTCCCAGCGATTTTTTTGAGGATATGGTTGGGAAAAATCTTACGCAGATGGCACGAAAAAGAAACGCCGAACGCATGGCCGCTCGACAAAAGGCCGTAGCCATCCGTTCCGGACTTGTCCCAACTGAATCTGTTGCCTCTACTGTTGTGGAGGAAACGGCTCACATTGTCATGGCCGAGACAGAAAAGGAGGTCGAGCGCCCGATTACAAAAGTTCGGCCAATTTCGGAGGATCGGGGCGAAAAACGAAGCGCTGAGGGCGAGGACGGCTCCGAAGAGGGCCCCATTGAAAAATGGCCACGCTTAGAGGAGTCGACTGTGGTTGCTCCTTTCGTTATTGAGCCAAAGATGAAAAACATGCTAATCTCTTCCGAAGCGTCGGCTTTGAAAGATCCAGCTGTGGCACTAAGCTTGGCTGCCTCGGTCTCCTTACTGGCTGACAAGGC